TAGCATTTGGCATCCCCCCAGGATGTCGAACCATCTGATGGTCTGGCATCCACAAGAAACACCAGGAGCAGAACAGACAAAAAGAGAGAATGGCCTTTTTTGGTTCCCTTTTTTATTTTACTGGCAACATTATTGAAATCCACCTTTCTAATCTTTTTTTTTTTTTGTTTTTTTTTTGTTTTTTTTTTGAAGTTTTAACAGAACCTTCTGGTTCTGGCTCCTACCATTCTGGGGAGCGACAGTCCGGTTCCTATTCCCCCGGCAAGTCAAATGTGGAATATATGGAAGACCCACGCATGCTCCTCCCCGTTATGGCGGGGAGGCCCGAGTGGACGGCATTGATTACTTCCTTGAGGAAGGATGTACCACCCCTTACCCCTGCCCAAGTTAGCCTGTGCTATTTAAACTGCCTTGTTGTTGCCAATCTGTCCAACCCTAGTCCTGCTCCTCTCAGTTGTGATGCCGTCGGGTTGGTGTGATACGCTAGAGCGGTCTGGAGCGCCTATGAGCCTCTTGAAAACTCTGACACCCTGAACCCTATTCTGTTTAAACCCTAAACCCTAGACCCTCAGCTATGATTCTGTCGTGATTTACCCAATCCTAGTTCCTAAAGAAGTAAAGCCTGTGCTTGCTCTTAATCCCTATAGCCTAAACCCTAAGAACTCTTCCTCTCTCTGTTTGGGCTGTGTACCCTTCCTTTCTCTCGGAAGACTGTTTTTACTGCTACTTTCCTCTGGGCTACCCCCTTTTTTTGCCTTCTTCTTGTCTTCAAGCCTGAACCCTACCACTTATGCTACTGTAACCTTACTTAACCCTTACACTTGTTGTTGGTGAGGTAGATCTGTTAGTATTGCTGTTAGCCCTCCTCTTTGCTTAACCTTAGCACCTCTTGTTGTTGATTCGTGTGTGTGAAGCTGATGCAGTGTATTGTGTCTTAAGGGTTCTTCTGCTAATGCTAAGTAAGGAGTCTTGTGAGTGCATTGGGTTCTAACGATGGGTGAATTAGGCTGTTCCTGTAATCTCCTACCTGTCCTTTGCACGTAGTGTGGTTTGGTTAGGTGTTTTCGGCTTTGCGAGAGGATTTGTCCACTGAAACTTACCGTCCATGTTAATGGTGCTAGATTATCAACAGCATGACTTGCCAGACCACCTCTCTCCTGTTGTCGGCCATGTCATTCTCTCTGAAAAATACGTCGCTCCAAAGCTTGACGATCTACCTCCAGACTTCACTCTCCCCTTCACATTCTCTTTCCACTGTAGCCTCCCTACTCCTCGTAGTACCCTTGAGCTGGTCCCATGAAACCAAAAAAAACACACGGGAGTACGAATTGGAGATATTTCTTCCCAGAACAACAGGGTGCTAAGGAAGTTCTGCTTCTACAAGCCTTTTAATTACTGATTTTGTTAAGACTCTTAAGAGGGCCATGATCTCCTTCGCTGTGTTCGCGATATATCGATGGCGGTGGGCGACCTCGGTATTTCCGAGGCACAGGCCACATTGGATGGAGGGTTGGGGTGTGTGCACTAATTATCGATGAATGCAAAAGCCACACCGGGGACCCGAGGCGCTTCGCAGGCAAACCCGTAAGACATCTCAGCCAGACGGAAGTTGACCGCAGCCCGAAGATTGTTGACCTATGAAGGAGGAGCCGCCTACTGCCTGTCCGCCCGACATACAGGGTTAGGGTGGCAGACTAGGAGGTGGCACACAACGAAGCGGAGATGCTGGCAAATCGAAACCAGCCCAAGTACAGAACCCTCAAGGTGGAAGGTATATCCATTCTGCTCTCTATTCAGAGAACCTGGGCTGGTTGGGAATTGACCTAATTATTGTAGCCTCATAACACTCCCTAATTCTCTTAATAGATTAGCTAATGTGGATCTATCTTAGTTAGGTAGTTTAGATCTCGAACCTTTTCTCCTTTGATTTCTGTTTTTCAAACAATCTATCCCTTCTGAGTCGGAATGGCATCAGCTGGCCCCTCTTCATCTTCATCCCCTGCAAATTCATCTCCTCTCTCGAACCAGGAGCGAATCCGAATTCGGGAACTCTTCGATTCTTGCTTTAAGGAAGGGGTGCTGCCCAGTGGGCTTACCTGAGGGAAGGTAATTGAAGGAGAGGATTTCATTTGGGTAATAGTAAATAAGGATATCTACGGGGTCCAAACTGAGTGGTTGAAGGAGAATGCAGTCACGATTACGTTCGGTAACGATGCCTCCTCCAAAGAGAGGTGTCTTCCGAAATGAAGGAAAGAACTTAGTAACTTATGTTGCATCAGACTGTCGGATAGCTGCGTGGATGCTAAAGAAAGGCAAGGATGGAATTGAAATGGATAACGAAATATATTCGATGACTTTTCAACCTTGGAAGTCTGAAAAGCAGCTTGCGGATTGGCGGTAGGCTATGCAACAAAAAAAATTCTGGGTGAGATGTTTGGATGTGCCAGTGGGAGCGTTGGGTATGTTAAAGGTGGCGGTGCAGGATGCCTTTGGCGTGGTCGTAAAAGACCGTCCTTCTTTTAAGAAGCCCCTCTCCCCTGACCTCCGGGACATTGGCTTTGATCTGGTCCCCTCGGCCAAATTAAGATATAAAAAGCAATTGATCGTAGACATCCTGGATGATGGCTGCGTGGAAATTGACGTGGTGTACGCAGGCACCCCATGGTGCTCAAAGTTCAGGCGCTTTTTCCACAGCGACTGTCATGTGGGTTGTCCCTTAAAACAGAAGAGCCAGCCTAACCAAGATAAGATCGAGAAGGGGAACCCCCCCCCTGGGCCCAACTCCCCCTTTAGAGAGAAAATCCAGGACAAGTAGGATTCCTCTCAGAAGTAGAAGGGGCTCCAGGAGGAGAAAGATCCCACTCAGAAGAGCAACCCCCCCCATGTTGATGATGGCTCTTTGCTGAAAGGTAAAAACCAATCCAAAGCAAAGCATCAACAGTGGGAGGTTGTTCGCCTCCGCAACTCATCCGGAAGGAAACGCCAAAATGGAAGTGAAAACAAGAAGAAGGAGCTTCCTCTGGAGAGAAAGAAATCCACACAGGCCTCAGGGAACCTTCATGCGGGAAGGGATGAGACCCACCATGACAAAACTGCCCAGCCGGAGAAAGAGGAAACTATGAGAGAGGTGAAATGAGAAAGGCAGAAGAAAAGGAGCGGGAAGAGAAAGAGGAAGGAAAGGGTGGAAACAGAACGAGAGGCCGCCTTAGAAAGGGAAAGGGAGGGTATCAAATCCACAGAAGAGGAAAAGGGGGAAAGGATTGATGAGAGACTATCCTCTCAGGGAGAAAAGGATAACGATGGCGGCATGGGAAGGGCCGTGAAACAGTTGGAGTATCAAGAAGAGGGAAACCTGTCGGGAAGTGGGGAACAAAAGGAAGTCTCAGTTGCGGCAGGAGAGGAAAAAGGTGACCACGAAAAAGTGGAAGAAGACCCTCCCCTCCTCCCCATTCGTATTCTGTGGGAAAAAACAGATGGCCCTCAAGAAACAATTTCCCCCTGCTCCGGAGGGATTGAGCCCTCCGGAGTCAGCGACCGCCTTGTCCGCAGGGAGTAAGAACGAGGACTCACTCGCAGAGGAGGAGCTTTCAGCTGAAAACTCTAATGAAAAAAGCGAGTCCAGCCCGTCAGAACTTTGCGCCGTCTCACAACCAATTTCGATGGGCTTTCAATTCAATCAAAGCCTAGCCGACGGACAGCTCGAGGGAAGTACCAGCAGGTCAGACAAAACTCTGGACTTCTCAATCCCGGGTCTGTACCACGACCAACTACTCATGTATTCTCCCAGCAAGAAGGCTAGGATGAATGATAATTCCACGATCATCACAGCGGAACAGCAGTGTCTAGACGAGCCCGTTGGGTCAAAGCTTCAATCAAATCAGAAAAAAGAAGCATGCCATGTAGGTCGACAACGAAATCTATATTCTATGCCGCTCTGATGAAGACCCTAGGGAAAACGGACACGCTAAAGGACCCTCCTAAGGAGTATCTAATCCCGATGATCATATCCGACTCAGATCTGGGTCCAAGGGTGCTCACGGAGAAAGAATACGATGAATCTCTCTCCCTTCCCTCAGTCCAAATCGTGCAAGGGATTTCGGAAGAAAGGGTGTTAGAGCTGACTCAGGCCTATGTACTAAACAACACAGGGATATGTGCAGTATTGCCAACGCCATGCATAGGGAGACATTTGGTCACCCTCCCGGATGGCAACAAAGCAATTCTGCACATAACTTTCCTATCATGACCACCTTGGACACCTTTCATCAGTGGTGTTCAGAGAGGATGTATTGGTATCCTCTCCAAGATTTCACCCATCCTAATCTTGATAACTTGCTGACTTTCGGTTGGATCCTGGCCTCACGACCAAGGAAGTGGCTGACTGGCTTCAGGCGGTCGATGTTGCGTTGGCAGTATCTCACGATAGTTTCATAAAGCACCTCCAATCACTTCACCTGTCTCAAACACTCTCTGCTTCAGGGCCAGCGGAAGCCCAAGCTCCCGCCAAGGAGCAAGACCACTCTCACCCTGTCTACCTTGATGGTTCTTCCAACTAGAATTAGTCTTTTAAGCTGGAACGTAAAAGGACTAGGGGACACCAATAAGAGATATAAAAAGCAGCGCATAGCCGCTGTCCTGCATACAGCAAATGCACAGATTGTTTGCCTACAAGAAACAAAGCTGAACACTAGCAAAATCTCAGAGATCAGACCTTGGTGGTCAGGCCCCCAGTTCTGAGCCTCTGCCAATGGGACCAGGGGTGGGACCGCGATCCTAATACACAAGGGCTTAGAATGTGCTATACTAGACCACTATGAGGACCCGGGAGGGAGACTAGTGTGGGTCAAGATAGCAATTGACTCAGAAGAATGGGCAGTTATATCAGTGTATGCCCCGGCTGAGTACATTGAACGAACACAATTTCTAGGTACTCTGCCATCCCTTCTACCTGATGTAGAAAACCTGGAAATGCTTGGAGATTGGAATACAACGATTAACCCTGGGCTGGATTCCCCCTTGGTCACCCCGTTGAGGACAGATAGCTCGCGGCTCCAATCTTTTCTGGAGGCCCAAAGCCTTATGGACACATTCAGAATAATGCACCCAAAGGATCATGGATACACATGGCATGGGCCCAGGCCTTCCGAGAAAGCCCCTATCCCACGTAGAAGACTGGATCTTATTCTGGCCAGAGGCACTATCTGGGACAGGTGCATAGCTTCATAATACCGGGTCTCAGAAATCTCAGACCACTACCCCATATATATTGACGTCATAAGCAAGGACTTGGTCGAGAAGGAGAGACCTCCCTTCCGGCTAAACGTGAATCTGTTGAAGGATAAGGGTATCCCAAAATGGGTTAGTACGCAGATGTCGGCATGGATGGGCGCCAAGGAACTATTCACCTCAGAGGATAGGTGGGCCGAGGTGGGGATAGGGATCATCAGGGCAGCGGTAATTGAATTCTCTCGAATGAAGGCAGCGAAATGTTCTTGGAAGGAAAGATGTCTGCTGACAGAAATTACGACAGCTGAATCGAAAATGGGTGAGGATCCCTTTGCATACTACTATTGGTCTGAAAAAAGGAAAAATGCTCTCTTTCAGCTAGAAATTTTGGAACAAGGGAAACAGGCGGAGTGGTTAGAGTGGCTCAAACTCAGAGGGATCGTGGGTTATGACCGCATGACAAAACTGACCTTCCGCTCGCTGGTCCTAAGGCAAACCAAGCCTCTGATAAGGGAACTGTGCCACCCCTTTGATCTGGGGGTGGCAGCGGCTTCAGACACTCAGAATATGTGTTCCTATGCCCTAGAATACTTTAGAGACATAGTTACATCCCGTAGGCCATTCGACAATTTCAAAACCGACCTATCAGTAAACTCGCCTTTTTGGAATAACACTAACACATGCATAACTCAAGCAGCAAGCGCTAGGATGGAGGCCCCTATCACGGGGCAGGAACTAACCAGGGCGGTCAAAATGATGGCTCGGGGTAAGTGCCCTGGCCTAGATGGGCTCCCGGTGGAGCTGTTCTCCAGTGCCTGGTCAGCCTTCGCGCCATTCTTATGTCAGATCTATAACAAAGCCTTGGTAACTGGCTCTCTCCCTAGTGCCTTTGTGAAAGGGGCGATCTCCCTCCTTTATAAGAAGGGAGATAAGAGAGAACTGTGTAATTACCGACCTATATCAGTATTGAACATTACGTACAAAATCTTGGCCAAGACTTTAGCCAATTGGCTGGCAGAAGAACTACCGAATTTAGTGGGATGGAACAGGGGTTCTTTGTTAGAGGTCGTTCAGTTTTTGATAATATATTATCAACAGTCCAAGCCTTGGAAGTAATAAGCGCAAAAGAAAGGAACGTGGCGGTACTGTTGCTGGATATGTAAAAGGCCTATGACAAAGTGGGATGGGCATTTGTCTCAACCACTTTGCATAGGATGGGCTTCGATCAGGGATATAAGATGGACTAAGGTGATGTATGGTCAGGCTTCGTCGGTAGTTATCGTAAATGGGAAACTATCCGAGGAATTCTACCTTTCAAGATTGTTGAGACAAGAATGTCCCCTTGCCCCACTCCTTTTTGTTGTGCAACTAGAAGTCTTGCTGGATAATATACGAACTAACCAGAGAATTCCAGGCCTGGATATTTCACCCTCCTTTCAGTGGAAAGGAGGACCACTTGCCGACGATCTAACTATTGCTTGTCAGAATTTTATCCCTGCCCTGCAGAAAGTTAAATTAGTTTTAGATAATTACTGCTTTCTTTCT